AGAGGGTACTGACACCGGACACCACGAGAAGGTAGAAATCCATCGTCCTAACTGCTTGACGATAGCAGTCACCCAGCGTGCTCGCCAGGGGCCAGTGGTACAGAGTGTCCGGAAACTGGTGTCACCACTTATACTCTTTGATTGTTTCCGGAACCCTGAAGTGAAACAGCACTAATCCCACTTTGGATATTACTTCGGAGCATAATTTTCCCGTATATGTATTGTAAAATACAAACAGGTATCATAACCGGTATATTTTACCGGGGGACAACGTCCACGTGTCATCCGTTGTATATTCTGTCTCATAATAAGTATATAGTGACGAGCTTGGCCATCAAGCACTACGTGGTGTAGCTCAGAATGGCCCCTAAACTAGTTCAATTAACGCTCAACCTGATCCAGGATATTTTGAAATCTGGTGAACTAACTACGTGCTAGATAGCAAGAAAATATGCAATATTTGTGGCTGTCGCATTGGTTACGCATCAATGAATATAATTGGTGACTGTTGCTGAACATAATTGCCCCGCACTGACAACTCATCACATCCTTGGAGCAATACTCCTCAAAAGCAACACCCAGGAACAATGCTACTCGTATATTCTTTATCTCCAAAATTCACCAACAACACATTCGCACACCCGTTGGAAAGTGAACCATGACCGATCCTCAAAAGTTCGCCTATAGCGATTACACCGTAGGCTGGATATGTGCCTTACCCGAGACTGAGTTAGTGGCCGCTATAGCCATGTTGGATGAAAGACACCCTGTTCTTCCAGCAACTGATCTACACGATGCGAATACATATGCCCTTGGTCGGATCGGTGACCACAATGTGGTGATTGCTTGCCTGCCAGCAGCAATAATAGGCAAGGTATCTGCGGCTAATGTGGCCAAAGATATGATTCGTAGCTTTCCAGCTGTCAGATTTAGCTTAATGGTTGGAATTGGCGGTGGGTCACTATACTATGGTGCAGAAGGGAATGGTAACTCTATAGGTGTTGAAGCAGAGGAGGAGGACTCAGAGGACTCTGAAGACGATATGGAAGATATAAGAGATATACGATTGGGCGATGTGGTGATAAGCCTCCACTTAAAATCATCGGATGCTGTTGTGCAGTACGATTTTGGGAAGTCATTGCAGGAAAGTGAATTTATATATATCGGCGGCAAACTGAACAAACCCCCAAATATTATTTTGGGTGCTGTTGCTCAGCTCAAAGCAGAGTATGAGTTGAAAGGACAAAATAATATCTCTAAAACATTGGCGGATATGATATCGAGCTATCCAGCACTCGGGAAAAAGTTTCAGTATCCAGGATCTCAGAAGGACCTTCTCTTTAAGTCAGATTTTGTTCACGAAGCGGGAAAGAAAACCTGTAAGGCTTGTCGCAGCCAGAACAATAAGCTTGTAAAGAGAGATAGTCGGCCTGATAACTCTCCACGATTACATTACGGGACCATCGGATCAGCGGATCAAGTGATGAAAGATGCTGTCCTAAGAGATAGATGGGCACGGGAGAAAAGTATTATCTGCTTTGAAATGGAGGCTGCTGGTCAGTACTACAATCTATCTGGAAAAGGAATCTCAGTATCTTACTTCTAATTAGGACTCATGGACTCATTTCCTTGCCTTGTTATCCGCGGTATATGTGATTATGCTGATTCCCATAAGAACAAAGTCTGGCAGCCGTACTCTGCAGCGACAGCCGCATCCTATGCAAAAGAAATTCTTCGCGTTATTTCAGGACAGGGAGTCGTGAATATGGATCCGATCAAACAGAGTATGTAAAGCTCAACTATGTATTCTGCTTGCTCTATTACTTTCTTTGATGAAAAAATCTATTAATCGGTTCTTAAGTCGAGAAATCTATAAGAGAAGTCCATTGCGCTGTCGAAAACACAAGTGCTACAGTCCAGGTTCTCAGTATTGACAGCAAGCACAAAAAGGTCTTTGACAAACTGCCATATGTAGAAAGCTCGAGTTTTGATGCGTTGGATGCTGAGTATGACGCGAGATGCCATCCTGAAACGAGGGTTGACTTGATTCACCAGATCCTTGAGTGGGCAAAAACCCCAAACCAAGAATGTATATTCTGGTTGAACGGTATGGCAGGAACTGGGAAGTCAACCATTTCTCGAACTATAGCCCAATTATTTAAGGAGAAGGGCCAACTCGGAGCTAGCTTCTTCTTTAAACGTGGAGAGGGGGGCCGCGATTCTGCCAAGAGGTTCTTCACCACAATTTGCGCACAGCTTCTGCTTCAAGTTCCTGCATTAATTCGCCATGCTGAATTGGCCATTGACGCAGACCCATATATATCAATAAAATCGATGAAAGAGCAATTTACTAAACTGCTCCTTGGGCCACTTCTCAGCCTGGACCAAAATGAGCCCACGACTATCGTGATTGTGATCGACGCATTGGATGAATGCGAACATAAGGATGACATACGGGCTATACTTCAGCTTTTGCCTCAGCTGCAGGGATGTACAACTAGACATATCCGAATATTTCTAACAAGCCGGCCTGAACTGCCAATCCGTCCTATCTTCGAGGAAAGCAACAATCATCGATGTCTAGTCCTCCACGAGCTTTCTAACACTGTGGTAGAAAAGGATATTCGTGTCTTTCTTAAAGACGAACTTTTAGGGATAAAAAGAAGGCGAAAAATCTCTGGTGAATGGCCAGGAGATGATGTTCTTAAAACTTTAGTGAAGAGGGCGGTTCCGTTGTTCATTTCCGCAGCCACTGTTTGCCGTTTTGTTGATGACCCAAAATGGCGCCCAGAAAGGCGCCTTCAAACTATTCTTGAAGACCCAGCAGCAACTTCAGGCTCCCAGATGGACAGAATATACTTGCCTGTTTTAAATCAACTTCTTTTGAATGCAAATGAGACAGAGATCAAGCAGCTGAAGCAAGAATTTCAGGATATAATTGGGGTTATTATTCTTCTTGCGACTCCACTTTCAATTAATACCCTCTCCCAACTGATTAACTTACCGAGTGCTGATGTTAACAATCGCTTGGACGGATTCCACTCAGTTCTCAGCGTGCCACAAAATATTAACGCACCGGTTCGGATTCTACATCTATCATTTCGAGACTTTCTTATCAACATAAAGAGCACCTTCTACGTGGATAAACAAGAGACACATAGAAAGATAGTATCATATTGTCTTCGTGTTATGGAAACCCGACTTAAACACAATATCTGTGGCCTGGCAAGCTACGGAACAGAACACAATGATATCGACGCTCAGCTTATTAAGCAGTACCTAACAGCCGAATTGCAATACTCCTCCCGTTACTGGGTATATTATCTTGAATAGAGTGAAGGTTGTATATCTTAATCTGAGATCCTGGCTTTTCTTAAAAAGCGGTTTCTTCACTGGTTGGAGGTACTAGCTTTAATTGGAAGTATATCTGATACAGTGGGAATGATAGATATACTGAAGTCAAGTATATGGGTGAGTCTATTTGAGTTCTATAGTTAAATAGTGGTTGATATATATTATAGACAAGCATCGGTGTTGAAACTTCAGACTTTCTCTATGATGTAAAAAGGTTTACTCTTTAAAATACTTATATAGCTGGTATTACTTCACTTTAACTCTATAGCTCCGGACTGGTCTTCGCATCTGTTCAAAGTATTGTGAAATAGGTATTCTCTAGTGAAGTAGTAAGACAGATAAAAAGTCTATCGGTTTTAGAGAATTCTTGGAGCCCAATCTTACAGACGCTCGAGGGCTATTCAGATCGAGTTAATTCAGTGGCTTTCTCGCCCGATGGGCGTACTCTGGCGTCAGGCTTAGGTGACTATACTATTAAGCTCTGGGATACAACGACAGGTACTGAGCGCCAGA